TCTGCTGGTTTTGCTGATTGTAAAACAAGATGCAGTAAGTTCAAAAATGAGTCTTAAATTCTCTAGAGACTTAATATGCATTGTTACCAAAGCCAGTTGTAGTTACCATAAATCTGTTCACCGTTTTAGTAAGAAACTTTAGGCACAAAGCTATTTAAAAGGAAACAATGCAACCTCAAACTGTCCTAAATCAACTCCCTCATAGCTAATTAAATCCTTCTGGTTTTTTGATCACCATATTTATTTCTTGAGAAATCTCTCTTGGGGTCACATAGTTATGAGTCACAGAGATTTTTGGTCTGGGGAAACTAAAACTCAGTTGCACTAGCACTTTCTTGGGTATACTTGAACAGTAATCCTCTTCAATCCTTTATAGGTAATCCTCTTTCCATGGGACAAAACTATGTTTTTAAGTTTTGAATATCTGTGGTAGGAAAAAAACCAAAACAAATAGGTCATGGAAGTACCTAATAGCCATGGAGTGAATTAATCATACTGGGAGTGGCTGTTGTCATGTACCAGATCCGCTGCATTTGTAAACTGAGTGACAGATATAATGGGAGATTTCTCACCTCCTGAGAGATCTGTGACTACTGTGTTACTGAAAAAATAGTAGTGATGAACAGGAATTGCTGTGAACACACACAAGTTAAAAGCTCATTTCCCAGAAGAAAAGCCTATTTCAGCAACTTTACATTCAACTAAATAGTTTTTGTCCAGCTTTAAACAAAAATCTGATTCCACAAGTGTCCATTTTCCTTTTGTGCTCCTGAGGAGGAAGGTATGGTACAAAGAGAGATTTCTATTGTCCTTCTTCCAATACCAGGAGTAAACCAAGAAAAATAAAGAAGTCTCATAAAAAAATGTTATTTATCTACCCTGTTTATTTCAGCAGTCACTAATTATGTATTTTCCTCCCCCAGTGAGGACACAGAAACAGTATCCAACAGCAGTGAAGGAAAATGTGGCTCCCCACATGACCTTTTGGAGACCATCTTTATCCGGAAGGTGGGAGCTTTTGTCAACAAACCCATTAACCAGGTAACAAGCAGTAGATCTTCTCATAGAGCACCTTTCATTTCCCATCTGTTCATACACAGAGGAGCAAAAAGCACCCCAATGCCAGGGCAACCTCAGAGACTGAGAGTGCATATTTCTGCCTGTTGCATTTCCCTACAAGGTTTTACCAAGTATTTTGTTTTCATAAAATCCTTTTGGGATCTGACAGCCATTGACTTTATCTACTTTCTAACACCCTATTTGAGAATAGCAGATTTGATACTCCACTTGGATCTCAAAATGATCTGCCACTACCACAGGTCCATAAACTAGGAAATCTCCCAAGCCTCCCTTCCTTGAAGAAACATGCAGTAGACCAGTTCATCACTAGAAGCAAGCATTTAAGTTCAGCTAGGGCAGCTTAGAGATCTGCTTGGTTCCTAGGGCTGCAGTTCCAGGCCTTTTGGATGAGGAATGAGAATTGTTTCAAGTTGTAGCAGTTCATTAATCCTTGCCTATATTATGCAAGATATGTATAGAAGCAATCCCATCTCAAAGTATGTATCTGCATTAGGTTAAGTGAGTATCATCTTTGGATTTCATGCCTTTTAAATGAGGTTGTCAGCCTCCTGCCTAACTGCTGACATGATTTTGGGCCGTTTTTAGCTGGCCTGACAAAGATGATCAGTATCCTTTTTGTGCCAGGTAAGCAGAGCATCTTAGTGAAATTCTGTTTGCTAAATCTCCTCAGGTGACCATGGCCAACTTAGACATTCCTTTTGCCATGTTTGCTCCCAAGAATGTTGAGCTGGAAGATAACGACCCCATGGTAAGACTCTTCCAGAGGTATATGTGCCTTCTCAGCATCCCTTATGCAAACATCCATGCTATTCTCTGCCTTCAATGCACCTTGGTTTTGGAGAAAATAACTAGTTATTAAGATTTGTTTGGTTTCAAGAAGTCTCCCGTGTTGAATCTTGGGCTCTCTACGCATGCAAATAACAGCATGTGTTTGCTGCCCCTGCTCTAGTTAATGTTAATTGTCCAACCTCCAAACTGCCCCCACACTGCCAAAGCACACACAGACATGACTGTAAGATCAGTACTCACCATCTTTGATTTCTTGGGCAGGTCAATCCTCCTGAATCCCCAGAAACGGAATCTCCTCTACAAGGCAGCTTACACTCGGAGGGCTCCAGTGGCAGCAGCACAGGGAACACCCATGATGACTTTGTTATGATCGACTTTGTAAGTGCCCTCATCAGAGCTCTTACACTGCACCTTAGGTGGGCTTCACGTGCTGGTGTGATGCCAAATGATGTCAGAGTACTTTTCAGTGGGAGTGATAAAGACACATCAGTCACAGTACCACACTGTAGGGCCAGAGTCCCAGAACTGCAAAGACTAGTACCAGGAATCAACAGCTACAGATGAAATACCATGTCACTTCTCTACTAACATCTGGGCTTGGCATCCTCTCTCTTAGCACCTAGAGGAGCCAGATTCCAAAGAAATGTTCTCTTCCAATTGCTCAAGTGCTACTGTGATAGCAAGTGGTATTGGCTGTTCTTCAGTTATTTAATATGCATTATTGCAGCAACAGTTGTAATGCCAAGATGTTTACTGATAGCAGGTAATGACTTTACCTGAGATTATAACAAAAGGAAAGCCAGTGTCTCTGGGAACTAACAGCAGTGTCTTTGATTGTAGAAACCAGCATTTTCAAAAGATGACATTCTTCCAATGGACCTGGGGACATTTTACCGTGAATTTCAGAACCCCCCTCAACTCAGCAGCCTCTCCATTGACATTGGAGCACAGTCCATGGCAGAGGATTTGGTATGGAATCCTGAAAATTCTATTTGTGGAAATCATATGTACCGTATAATGCTCTCCCTATTTCTAGTTGGAAAAAGTATCTTTATAGAATTGCAGAATAGTTTGGGTTGGAAGGAACCTTTCAAGGTCATCTAGTTCAACCCCTCTGCAATGAGCAGGGATATCTTCAACTAAATCTGGTTGCTCAGCCCCATCTAACCTGGCCATGATATTTCCATGGATGGGGCATCCACCACCTTTCTGGGCAGCCTGTTATAATTTCTCAGCAGCTTCATAAAAAATGCTCTTTTATCTAGTGTGAATTTACTCTCTTTCAATTTAAAACCATTTTCCCTTGTCCTATTACAACAGCCCCTGCTAAAAGTCTGTTCCCATTTTTCTTAGAGGTCTCCTTTTAGTACTAAAAAGTCAAAATAAGGTCTCCTCAGAGCATTCTCATCTTCAGGCTGAATCACCCCAAGTCTCTCAGCCTGTCTTAACAGGAAAGGTGCTCCAACCCTCTGATCATTTTTGTGGCCCTCCTCTGGACCCCCTCTAACATGCCCCATGTCTTTCTTATGCTTTTCAGAACAGAGACCCTGCCCAAAGGGAGTCCATCACTAATATATTCCAAGTAAATGCAGATTTATTTCTGGTACACCTGACCCTCTAAAACTGGTGTGTTTGTCTTGAAGCTGAAGGCTGCTGCAGCATGCTGGCTCTAGGTCACTGAAACCCCCCAAACTAATCCTGCCTCCGGGGTGTCTCACTTGGTGGCAAACCAGGCCTGACTTTGCAGCCTGAGCAGAGTTAGAGTTCCAGTGTGGCTGGTGAGTCACATCTGGGTGAGTGCTCTGTTAGGCTCTCTGGCATTGTATCATACTGTGGAGAAAAATGAAAACCAGAGAGCAGCAAGTGACTTGATGAAGGTAGTGATGTGAGTGGGTTATTGTGCTGCAGCTGGTGGGGATTGCACAAGGTGAGGCCCCAGTGCACCTCCTGTTCCTGCAGAACAAACAGACTCTGGGCAGAGTGCCCTGCTCAGGGTCACTTGCTGACTGCTGCCAGAGGGCTCCTGCTTTTGTGCACGTAGAAAGGTGAGCCCAGAGCATTGGTGAGGGACTGCATGACTCAGAAACAGATTTTTTTTTTACTAGTGTGTTTAAAATTTTCTTCTGTCTGCTGTGAATGAGCCCTGATCCATATCTTTCCTTACCTTCCAGGACTCATTACCAGAGAAGCTGGCAGTCCACGAGAAAAACGTCAAAGAATTTGATGCTTTTGTGGAAACCTTGCAGTGAAGCTGTTTCCCAGTTCTGCTGCAGCAATTTTTCCTCCTCAAGGCATCCTGGAGATGACATCAACAAGTATCTCTATCGCCCCAGCTCTGCCTTTTGTTCACATCAACTAGTTCCTTCCACCAAGTGAGCTTTCTTTTCTCTCTTCAATGACAGATACAGCTCATCTGCGGATCTCCTCAACTTTTCCACCACAAAGTTCTGGACTGCTTTTCCTGCTCACTGTCAGTTCTAAGACTTCAGTAGGGACACAGGAAGTCAAACTCCAGTGTATGGAAACCTACTTTCTCTTCAGTCTGTGTCTGTATGGAGGGGCTTTGTGCAAAGTTGTCATATGCTTCCTCCAAGGGTCCTGTGGTGTAAGTTCCCTAGGTAGACCTTCTTGCTAATAGACTTTTTCCTGCAGTCTCTGATCCTGTTAAAGCATAGAAAGCTTTGGCTTATTTCCACAGGGTCTGTGAGTTCAGCAAATTCAACTGTTTGAAGTCCAGGACATCCATTCCACAGAACTGGGCATTTCATCCTGACTTCAGAGTACGTGCTTGGAGCACAGGAAGAGACATCAGCTTTGGGACTTGCATAATCCAAGTTACCTTTTTTTTTCCTGCTTCTAAGGAAAATTGGGTCTCTGCCCAGTGCAAGGCCCTCTGTTAGGTGGCTGATAAGCAGGAGTGAAACTACAGGAATGCTTTCCACATGTCCTTCCTGAGTGCACTGACATTCGGCCATGCTGAGTTTAAGAGTGTTGACTGTTGGCAAGCCTGCACGTAGCAGCTGTGATGATGCTGAATTCATAGTCTCTGCTTCTGAAACACAACTGTAAATACTAGGAATCCTATTTCTTTAGGGTTATGTAACTAGGAGTCTTAGTCCAAGATTTTTTCCTCTAATCCTTGCAAGCCTTCCTGCTTTATGGTTAATAGATGATCTTAATAATTAAAAAATATTTATTGCTTTTAAAGAAACCTATATTTAAAAGATGTTCTGTTTTCATGTTATAGTGCGGGTCATTCTGTCCTGATCACTGCAGAGAGCAAGCGTGCCATGGAACCCTAGCCAGTGAGGCTAGTCTCTCTTTGCAGGAAAATATCCAAGATATTTATTTTCTAAGACAGACTTAATTAATATTATACTCTGTTTTGGGGACTATGTGTCCATTACATCCAGTCAGGGCTCACTGATAGAATGAAATGCACACATCAGTGGAATGGAGTGGCAGGGACTTGGTAAAAAGCTGTTTTCTGATAGGTATGGATGAATTTGTAGTGTTCTTTGGCCATTCAGAAGGCAGCTTCTTTAAAGAAGCACATTTTTTTGGGAAGCTTATGGTACTTTTTAATCAGCTGGCTTTTTAGTAGCTGAAATTTTATTTTTGTAATAATCCAGCCACTGACAGTGTGACTGGCTGGAATTGCTCAGTGGGTGATTTGGCTGTTGCATGTCTTCTGCCTCATGTAAGGATGGGAGGAGAAACAGTGACACTAAACAGAAACTTGGATAAGGTGAGTTTCCTTGTGGTTCTCTCTCCTCCTGCCCCATGTAACTAGAGTGAGCAACTGCAAGACCCCTAACTGTCCAAAACCACTTCTTTTCCCCCTTGTTTCTTTTAAGTGGAGTTATGTTGCTTGAGTACTGAGAAACCATCTTCATTTCCTCAGAGTGGGCTGAATAACCAGCCTTCTAGTTGGTGCAGTGTGGCAGCTTCTTCAGCTTAGCTGCATTCTTCATTGGAAGAGATTGCCTGCAGCTGATGGGGGAACCCCAGCTCCAGTCTGGAACACTATTTCTGTGCCACTGCTGGAGCAAGGAGCCAAATTCAGAGCAGAGCTCACTATAAGGCCAGAGCACAGCAATGCTTTGAACTTTATGGGAATTTTTGTTGGGAGATATGTTTGGTGGGAAGACTTCTAAGTCCTAAAACTCCAGATAAGAGCTTCATTGAAGGAAAATTACCCACCAGAACGTTTTTATTTTACTCAACTGATTCAACTTCTTAGCAACCTCACATGGAAATTGCTTTGTCCATGCAAAGTAAGATGCACAGACATTTAAGAAAGGTTCCAAGATCAAACAGTTTGTAACAGGACTTCAGTTACATGGGCTGTAACAAATACATGATACCCATCCACGGGCCACCTTGTTTTACAGGTGGAAAGGGTTGCAGAAGGGTGCTGGAACACAAGGAATTAATGGATCAACTGCCTGTCACCTGTACTCAGGAAATTGGTTAGCCACTTTGTAGGAAGTAGCTCATAGACAGGTGGTTGTCTAAAGTGATACGATGTGGGCTGCAGAGCAGCAGAGGTGAGGCAAGGGGCTGGTTCACGCCGTATGAATAGAGAATAGCTGAGGTTAAACTTCACCTAGCCAGCACTCCTGCTGTGCTCTTCTGCTGACAAGCTGTGGAGCTGGCAGGAAGCACTGCCATTCTTGTTAATCCCACCCAGGAGGTCAGGGCTTGTACTTGTGCTCCTTTATTGATGGAGTTGCTAACGTGGCTACAGCTCTCACGTCTCATAAGGCAAAATGTCACTGTGGCACGTTTTCTTCTCTTCAGAAGGCTGGAAAATTGCCTATATAAGCTGCTAGTGTTGAGCTGGATGGCCACAGCAATAAGAGATTCTCCAGGGTTGAGTTACCTGCCTCTTCTCTAGACAGTCCTCACTTTCAAAACACAGTTGCTACATCTGGGCTCTGAGTTCCCTGACCATTGCACAAATGCTCTGCTTCAGTAAAGACTTAGCTTCTTCTATGGCCTGCCACAGATTGTGTTATGAAGGCTGTTTATTTTAGCAGCTCTCTGCTCAGCTCAATATTAAGGACAGTATCTATGTAGCTGCTGATTTACAGATACTTTGGGTGGAGGGGAAGGTTCCTCAAGTGTATTGTTTTGGAAAGTCTCCGGTGTACTTCAAATATTCAAAGAATTTCCAATAAAACTTTTGTGTAAGCAACACTCTCTGCATTTTTCTGTGTAGCAACAGGTCTGGGACATTTTCAGGCTCATGCTTGTTTTTGTCCAGTAAACAGGACGGTCAGTGGCCTGTCAGTGAATGCAGGACAGAGCAAGTTGCTGCCTCCATCAGAGAGGGCAAAATGGATTGGTGCATAATAGTTGGAGAGGTCAGTGGGATCTTACTGAGATCAACCTACTGGAAGGAAAAGAGGGACAGACAGAACAGGTGCCTGGAGGTGGGAGGAAGTGTTTGACCCTGGAAACCTCACCAGTGAATTGGGAAACTGAAATATTAATTCGTCTTCGGAGGAAAGGGGTAGGAAAAAGGGGAAAATACACCCACAGAATTTGCATTGTACATAGTTGCTACTACACACTTAAAGAAGTATAAGAATGTTTTGAGTTGACAGGAAAGATAGCAGAGACTAATAAAATATGGAAAGAATACCCAAACTTAACAGCTATATTCTAGTATTGGTAAAAGTTAACACATAATGCCAGGTGTGGTACCAACACCTTCTCTTTAAAGGAAAGACAAGATTATAAAAATCCATGTACTAATAACAACTGCTGATTTAAGCTTCAGTGTAAAAGGGTGTCTAGTTATTATAAAAAAGATAAAGTGAAAAAAATGACAGAAATGGGGGAAAAAAAAGAAAAATTACTCTGTGTATTAGAAGCTTCTATGAAGGGAATATTCCAGCCTGGAATACAAGGGTAACTAATAAAAGCAATCTTTTCTTAATCACATCTTCAGAAGGTAACACAGTAAACTGAGCATACTGCTGGAATCTTACAGATACCAAGCTGTCTAGATTATATACATGTATATGTGTGTATTTATGAGTGTCACTTCATGAACTTAAAAAAGACATGGTGCAGTGTCAAAACTCTGCCATCCTGCCAACAGAAACCATCCTGTAGGATCTGGGGCTTACTACAGGGCTTTCATTATTTACACCATGTCACCAGGAAGACAAGAGATTGGAAAAAACATCAGGAAATAAGCAAGAAAGTAAACAATCACATAAGTATGATTAACCACCAAGGTCATGAACAATAAATACCATCACTTTGTGAGCCTACTTTATGTATTTATAAAAAATGTTCTCAGAACAGTGTCCATAAAGTCAGGGCGCAGCTACTCATGAGCACGTGTCCGGTTGCAATGGTGCTCACACTGCGTTCAGTACTGCCCATGGTTGCACTTACCGTAAGTTCTGCCAGTGCCAGCTCCCTGTCAGGGACAGATGCACCTGCTCTCCAGCTCCTCTGAGCTGATGTTGCTACAGCACAATGCCAGGCAGGTCACTGTGACAAAGCCCAGAGCCAGGACCAGCTGCTGCACTGAGAAGTTTGAGATCTTGCTGTACAGTTGGCATGTTAACCACACTGACCCCATTACAGAGGCCATGTCAACGTGCAGAAGGGGAACTGGCAACACTGGGAAGCCCTTAACTGGTACAGTAAAAACTGATGGCAGCACAGTTTAGACATCAGCATCAACACATCACCCTGACATCCCAGCAGTCAGGCTACTGCCCAGTGCTGATGGTTTTAGCCCCAGCACTCTCTATTCTACTCCTAATTATTGCATCCTAGCCAAAAAGCTTACTGATGTAACAGGCAAATTGCTGTAACAATGTTACAATGTTACAATGTAACAGTCTTTAGGAAAAAGTAGTGAACTGAATATGGATCAAGGGGAGTGTGGTGGTCTTAACCAGACTACTGTTCATCAAGTTAGCAATCCACATACATTGAAAGGAGAAGGTGCAGGCTTCTGCTGCGTGCATCACCTAGTCCCAGGATAAACTTAGCCAGCTAATCCTAAAGTGACTCCCACTTGGCACCCTTGGAAATCCTAGGCAGACTGCTCATCATGACAGGAAGATGTTAACATGGAAGAACAGCCCTCTTCAGAAGAGCCAAACCTATACTACTTAATTTTTGTTTTACTTCTGTTTCCAGCCAAGGCTCCTGTAACCTAGTATTTGTTCAGTTACTCACATAGGAGGCATTTCATACTTTCTTTCCTTCCTTGCAGCATGGATGTGGCTGGCAGCATAGACAGCCCTACTTGTTTCTTGTAGATGTGTCACTGCTGCTGCCACTTGACAAACATGTCTGGATCTGAGATTACATTTTGATTTTTATTGAAATACAAAAAGTGCAAACTGTGAAATACAAGATTGGTGCAGATTAAAAAAAAATAAACAGTGTGAACTGTGAAAACTCAGGCCTGCACCTGATGAACATCAACAAAGAAGAAGGCAGGGAACACCAGCAACAAAAGCAAAGCCGAAATTTTTGCACAGGAGCCCCTGTACATAAAAAAGGAAGTTGGGACCAAACTGGCCCTCAGCTCTCTCATGTCAGCACACAAGGCATCTGGATGGCCCCAGACCCCCTGCATCACCCAGAAGCTCTGGTGTCAGTTCACAGCTTGGGCCAGGGAGTGATCAGAGGCCATTAAGACAGCAGGAGGCTTAGCAGAGGGGAATGTTCTAGGTGCTAAAAGCAGGAGGTTGATGCAGAACAAGTACCCCCACAGGAAGAAATGGCTAATAGCTAACCTGACAGGTAAGCCAGGGAAGAGACCCTTGGGCAGCTCTATAGCAAGGAGAAAATCAACACAAACCAGCACCTTAACTGTATACCACCCCTGACCTATACAAGGCAGAGAAACCCAGCCCAGCCAGCACCTTGCCCATATGAGGAGGGAATTTAACCCCCTGGCTTTGGCAGGAGCAGGCTCTGGTAACCACCCACCTGACACAGGCTGCAGGCAGGCCCGGGCCAGTTCTTTCACAGGAGGAATATTTCAATACAAGGCATTCAGGAGAACAGACTGCAAAAGCAACCCTGGTTACTGTGCCTGCTCCAGGGCCCTCAGCAGCACAAGGAGCAGCAGAGGCAAGGGGATATTTACAGTGGGTCCCTTCCAGGATTTGCAAGCACTTTCCCACTATGAGCAGTAGTAGTTCCCTGAACACTCTCCGAATCTGCTCCCTGCAAGCACTGAACTGGAGCAGGCTTTTATCCCTGCCAGCAGGGGATGAACCAGCCTCTATTTTGCTAAAAAAGGAAACGTCATTTCAAGAATTCGCTAAAAAAAAAACAAACCAAAACCCAAACTAAATCCCAAAAAACCCCTAAAATAAACCACCAAAGTTCAGCCAGAACTCAGATGCTTGCAGTATTCCCTCCACTTTCCCCATGGACAGGAGCTACTCCAGCACTGCTCCTCTGGCTACTGGGCAGGGAACAGTCCTTGCTGCTCTGCAAGGCCAGAACACACCACCTTCCCCAGAGTGTGCACAGGGCCAGGCCTCATGCACACAGGCACTTGGATTCCAGGCTGCTGAGCTTGGGCATTTGTCCCAGAAGTTAACTGGGCTTGCCTCTCCTCTACAGAGATGAAGGTGACGCCAGTGTCAGCTGCAGATACAGTCAGAGCACCAAGTCTCCTTCTCCCCCTACCAAAGCCTCCACAGAGCAGGATGCTTGCAGGGAAAGAGGGGCTGCACTGGGCTCCCTCAGCCTCCACGGCCTTGCCCCTTAAACACTGGGGGAGGTACACCTCTCTCCACACTAGTCCACCCCAGATTACTCCTCCACAGCACATGAGACCTGCTAACTCACTCTAGGAGAGATCACAAGTGCATTAGGAGCAGATTATCTCTCCCTCCAAAACATTTACTTAGCTACTGCTGTGAATTGTTCAGGATGAGACAATTCACATCCTGGCCAAACAGAGAAAGTTCCTACACTTGGAAGAGGGAGACTTGAAGAAGTCAGCAGCCTGGTAGCCTCCACAGGGCAAAGTCTCCTGGTATCTAGAAAGGATCAGATCCAGTCCTATCTTAGAACCTCTCTTGCTTCAAGTCTTAGTAATGTTCACTTTCCTGTGCACTGTTCCCACCCACACGTTGGTGTGCCTCCTCCAAGGCAGCTGCCTGGACCTGCGCTGCCTTGCAGAGCTGCCTACGTTTGCACCCATCCCCATTCCAGAGTTTAGCAAAAAGAGCAATCTCCTTAATTCCTGCAGCAGATGCCACTTACTTTGACTACACCAGGGGCACCGACCCTTGGTCAGTGTTTAAAGGCAGGCTAAAATATTATGAAAAAGCAAATTCTCTTTAGCATCCAGTAGCTTTAAAAAAACAGTTCTGCTTGGTCCTAAAGATTTGTCCCTGAAGCCAGATGCAGCAGAGAGGTCTGGCCCAGGCACACAGGGCACAAGATACAAAGGTAAATCACACCAGTGAAGTAAGGCTAGAAGCTCCCTCCTAAAACCCAGACAGGCCCAGGCTGAGGAGAAGGATCTCTTTTAGCTCAGGCAATGGGAATGAGGCAATGCAAACCCAACAGAGATGCTGTGCCAGTATCATAGCTGCCCCAGGGAGGTGCCAGGACCACCCCACTCTGAGCCTGCCTTGCAGATAACATGATGTCTCCAGCTGTGCCCAGGGCATACAGGATGCCTCTGACCAGATGCCAGGGTGGAAAGTATGAACCCAGGAGGAGACACAGCAAAGGCCCTTGGCATGGAATAGCTGTTCCCTCACAGCTTTGGCACAAGTGCTCAGCACCTGGGCAGAAATTTGTAATCCAGGCCTGGTACACTCCATGGTGAGGGTTAGCCCCAGTCCCCAGACTTTCCAACAAGGCCATGCTCTCTGTTACTGTGCTGGGGAACATTGTGCTCAAAAAGACAACTAACTAGTCAAGGCAGCCTGTGCCAGTCAACACAGGTACATGTGCCAGAAGAGGAGGCCTTGTGCTGCTGCCAGGACAGATGGTGATCCTCATGGTGTTCAGCAGCTCAGTGCCACCAGGGTACTTGCTCCTGCCATTCAGACTCACCAGCTGTCAAAGGGTCACAGCTGGCCTGCATGCACAGCCAAGCCTGGCATGAACCTTCCCAGCCAGGCTGGAAGTGCTGCTGGAGGGACAAACACACCTGAGCTGGATAACTACAGAGGCAAGTCACCCACTGCAGTCCAGCAAATGCTGAATAGTATCTGGAGTGGGTGACCCCAGAGGAGCTGGGCTTTGGGCTAAACTCACCTTCATTGCTTTGGAGTCTGACAGGTAACACAGCCCATTGACATGAGCCTGTCCTTCACCTGCCTGTCAAAAGCAGGGGGTCTAGAGTGGTGTTTGCAAGTGCAGGACATGCTGCTACCTGAAGCACAAGGGCTCCTGCTGCTCCCTTCCCTGCTTTAGTGTCCCTGGGGAAAGGCAGCACGCATGCTCAGTGCTGAGAAATGGCACTCACAGTAAGAATGTCTTCATCATAAAACCCAGCAAGCCCACCCTAACCCAAACAGCCCAGCTGAGGCAAGGAGGGGTGAGCTGGGGCTATTGGGAGCTTGAACAAAAAGATCTGTGCTGAGGAAGGGACCAGGAGGGCAGAAAAACTGCACATAAGGGAAGGAGGAAAAGAAGGCAGATCATCTGAGAGGGCAGAAGACTGGTGATGAGCCCTGGAGGAGCTGCGCAGGTGGGTTAGGACTCCAGTCTCAGCAGCTGGGAGACCAGCTCCCCTGCCCATCCAGAGCTGCAGGTCTCCTGCTCACTTACTTGCACACTTTCACCATCATCTCCACAGCCCTCACTCTGCTCATCACCCAGAAGATCAGTGGTCCCTTTGTACTGGAGACAGCTTGGTCACAGCTCCAAGACAAAGAAGGGGGAAGGTGGGCACAGTGTGCAGGTGTGGGCTGGCCTGGATTCAGGCCTCCGCAGCCTCAAACAGCTCCTTCTGGTGGTCCAGCAGGAATTTGGTAAAGGTATTGATGGGATTGATGGCTTTTAGAGTGATGGCCACATCTTTGGCCCAGAGCAGATTTGGGCCAAACACAACTGCCAGGTTGGTGTTTGTCATCTTGTTTCTGTCGCTGTGAGCAGAGACCTGTGTGGGAAGGAAAGAGACAACTGTGAATCCTAGAGAATAGCACAGCAGCTGCCTACCCTTCCCAAAGCCACAGACAGAGAAAATAAGAGGAGAAAAGCTGACCAGGCTATATCATAACAACAGGATCAAGAGCACTGTCAGATAATATCTCTACAAGTCCAGATCACCACTCATGATCTTCCCTCTTTCTTGAATGGCCATGCAGTGGCTTTCTTGGCAGGAGCAAGTACTTTAAAGCAGAGGTGAGACCCCCTCTTCTACTCAGCTACTTTGTAGTTCTACCTGAACCCTGGGGAGCTTCCAGCCTCCCTGGTATAGACCACACAGGCTGTATGCCTGCACCTTTCAGGCTGAAGGCCTGCCTGCACCTCCCAGCGTTATGACAAGCAAATGCTTAGGCTAGTGCTCACCTGCACCAGAAAGGCTGTCAGTAAACGGAGCACTTGGTAGTTTTCTTCCGGCAAATCCTGGAGTGCTTTGCGAACAACTTCCACACGTTTCACCTCCTCCACACCTAAAAAAGAGAGACAGGACAATCCTCAGCAGCCATCCTGATGAAGGCCCTGCTGGCAGTCACAAGGTATCCCATGCATGTCTCCACTAAGACATCTTTGCCCTTAGCCAGTGCAACATTCAGGGAGTAGCACTTGTTACAACAACTCACTCTGGAAGCTGACAACATGGCTGTAGAGGCCAAAAGTGAGGAGTGGCTCAGGTAGCTCCCTCAAGAAGGTCTTGAGAATCACAGCAGGGAGGTGGACATCTTCATACTCCTGGAAATCTACAGGTACACCTGAGAAAGTAGAGCAGAGACTCAATGCTCACTGGCCAAAACAGCACCTCCTCCAGACAAAGGACAGGACAAGATGGCCACAGTCCAAACTAAGGAAGAGGTACTTTAAAAAACATAGAATCCTGAAGTACCACATTTTCTAGCAGAGTGGAAAAATATGTCCCAAAATCATATACAAAGCAGTGCTGAATCCAACACTACATTTTTAGAAGTCATCAAATGAAACATGACTAAGTTTCATCCTGGTCATCTTAAGTCCCTTCAGTATAACCAGAGTAAGATGGTACATCTCACCCCAAGAAACAGGGAAACTTTCAGGGAAAAAAAAGGATAATAAGAGGAATATGAGTGGGAAGGAATATGCTTTCCACACAGCAGAAGTACCAGATACTTCTCCCTTGCAATTCAGGTCATACCCCAAGATGAGGCTGCACCTACAGACCTATCAAAGAAGGAGAAAATCCATGATGGACTAGTTCCTACACAGCTGCAGTTGCACAGTAGTAATTAGGGAATGAGAGGGGCTCTGATGTGTTTGGGCACTTACCCATATTGTATTTTTGCTGGACCTCTCTGACAACCTGTGTATTTGCTGATCTCCGGAAAATGCCCTCTGTATTAAGAGCTGTGAAGTGACAGCAGATGGAGAAGAAAAAAATCAACCATGTGAGAATCTCTAAAAATGCCGGCCTTAACAATTATAAATCCATGCTGTGGGGCATTCAGACAGATATCAACAAGTCCCTTTTTTAGAGTACAACAATTCTTTCTGCTTCCACTATCAGACAAAGGATACAAGGGGCATTTGGCTACTTTTACACAAGTGGGAACACAGACTCCTAAAATAAGGAGGTCTCCTAAGCCCTCCACAATCTCACTTGAAGGCTGTCACCTAGGTCAGGCTTTACACCCTATTCTAGACTGCTGTTCTTCTTTATCTTACCACAGTCTTGATGGGAGCTTGGACAGAACAGAGGTCACTGATATGGGACTGCAGTGTCCCCAAACACTTACCATGCTCCCGCAAGTGAGCAATGGTGTCTCTGACCACCAGAGGAACAGGAGACTGATCAGGGCTCTTCTCCCTGAGACTGCACCAAGAAACAACAGGTTACACATGACTGGCACACAGGACTGGTCCTACCCCACATGCAGCCTCCAATTCTTGAATTTACCACACAAGCTGTACTACATATGATCTTGCTATCCCCATCCCTGTTTCAGCCATTATTCTGGCCTTCTATCCTCTTCACCCATCATGTTACATCATTCACTGGCGCAAATACAAGGTCATTACTAGACCGCAGGAATGTTTTTCCATCCTCTGTAAAAATCTCAACCTGTATATGCCAAGGCAAAGGGTTCCATCCTCTGTAAAAATCTCAACCCTGTATTCCAGGGCAAAAGGTTTCCCAGAAGGCAAGGATGCTAGTTATGCATCAGGTGAAAAGGGTTACACTTCCTTTTTCTTTCCCCACAGGAGCAAGGGCAGAAAGAAGCTGACACATGAGAAAAAAAATTTTGGCCACCACATTCCTGTAACAGAAGATTTATCAACAAAATGGTCGTCAGGGAAAACCTCATGATGCCAGGGTGCTTGCTGCCACCCTCCCATTGGATTGTCCAGACCGCTCGATAGCTGGGAGCTGCTCACCCCTCCCAGGCTGCCCACGAGCTCAGGCACCACGGCACCATGGCAAACACCAGCTGGAAATGTGGCACTGAAGCTGGGGAATGTGTTCCCAGACTGCCTCAGAGGATGTGTCTAGCTACACAGTACTGGCTCCTCCTCATTCCCCAGGGAGGCAAAACCACACTCAGAGTTAAAAATACTTTCAGCACTCAGTATCACCAGCCCTTGCCAATGTCTGTGTTTGCCTTTGTCACTGGGCAGGAATGGGGAGTGGGATTCACTACAGGGCTGAATAGAGGTGGTTTTAAAATAGAATTTATGATTTGGAAAACAACTGAGAAACAAATCTGCATCGCTGCTCAAAGTAGCATAGTCCTAAAGAGAACCCCGTCAGCCTCCTACAGACTTCTTTTGCTTAAAAGGAAGTTTCTAGTGCCATAAAGCTGTCCCCATGGCTCTTATTTTGCTCCTCCCTTAGTGACCCTAAATTGCAAAAATAATCTAACCCAGGGATCAAGAGGGTGGAATTGAACTGAGTTAGTCAGGATCTGGACACGAGCACAGAGTTCCTCAGGAAAATTATTAAAGTTTAGTAGGAAGTCTGAACTGCCAGAAATGTCTCAGCCATTTTCTGGTGTTGTTCAGTAATAAATACAGTGACCTCATACAAAGCAAGTCAGGGCAAAAGCAACACAGTCCAGAAATACTCACTGCTGTAGGGAGACTCCAAACTGCTGGTGTGGCAGTGGTGGGCGTGGGGGTGTTGGCTTCTGGGGCACTTGCGAAGGTTTCTGCAGGGATCTCAGGTATTCATCATACCTGCAGCAAAATACAGACTAGTAAAAAGGCACTCCACCTCCCAGAAAGTGCATGAACCCAGCACTGCACACCCACTGGTAGCAGCACCAGACTAGTACAGCCAATTACACCTATGCAAAACCACCACAGGCAGCTCTAGAGCACAAGAACAAACATCTGATTGCCAGAAAAAAAAAAGCAGGGAAAAAAGGAGTATCTATCTGTAATCAAGAGGTGGAGTAGCTGAGTAACAGCGTGGGCAGGAAGCCAGGACAGCACTGCTTGTGATGAGACAGATGCATATGTGGGTGTGGGACAGGGAAGCAATCTGGTAGGACTGAGATTATGGAAACTTTGGGAAGCCTCAAAGACAAGCTGAGCAGTGCAGAATGAGCTAAGCAGGTCCCAGACAACAGCAGATGCACACCATGAGCTCCAGGTCACTGTTAAGGTCAGTATCTTGCAGAAAGTCCCCAGGGAGTGAGTGGGAGATGCAGGATTGGTGCTCCATTGCAGGAGGATTTTTAACTCAAAGACAGAACTGGGGACTGGGGCCAAGGACACGCAGGAAGGACTACAGAGAGAAACCAGTCTTGAAGCCAACGTGTTACCACACCCTGCAAAACCTGAGTGGAACAATCTCTTCCTTCTCTTGCCACTCTTTACAAAAGGTCCCCTCTCACAGATCCCTAAACAAGGGGAAGACAGACAGTATTCTCACTTCAGTACTTGGCTTGGGATCCCCAACTGTTCCAGCTTCACATACTCCTCCAGCTCACTAAGGTAATTCACATAAAAAATCTTTCGTCCAAATTTAAAGCTGAAAAACAAGAGAAAGGTAGATATGTGAGGAATTGGGAAATCCAGTAACAGAACTGACTTCTTACAGAAAAGGAGAGCAGAGGGCTGCAAGAAACATCAGTGGGGCAAAGGGTAGGTATGGCTGAGGACCAGAATGCCACCCACATAGCTCTCTCACTCCATCTATTTTACCAGGAGATGCAAAGATTTTCCAAGATACATTAGAAGCCCTAGCAGCAGCAGGCTCCCTCAAATGGTGGATTTCTCCTTCCCGTGTTCAGCAGTAGGCTTGAGAAGATTTTACTCCCTATTATTTCATAGAGTTATTATTTCAGTATCACAATAAATTAAATATTTGAGTTACAGAGCCTGCAACTTTTTAATTCTACTTGGCTGGAGAGAAAAGGAGTATCACAGAGCTGCAAACTCTGTAGGTTCCTAAAGAGGTATTTCTGGTGTGTGAGCATTTCTGAGCTCAGAAGTAGGAGACAGAAAAAGGAGAGAGACTCCAGGACAGGCTTGGCAGCCTGGGCTCAGCTTGTACCCCTCTGAGAAGGCCCCATTGTTCCCCTGCAGTGTGAACATGCAGGTGAGCCTCCAATAGTGCTTCCTTCCTACCTGATCAGAGGCTTGAAGAGTATCAGGAGGGTCTTGATGAACATGGTTGGGTGCACAATATACAAGGCTTTGATGTTCTTCTTGTACCTGTCAAGAGAAGCCCAGTAATGACAAGCTGCACTTTAAGCAGAGGAACTAACCTTTCCACAAGATTAAGGCACCAGGGTTGCTTCATGCCTTTTGCACTGGGCCTCACCACACCCCAGCACTCATGACCTCTGCTCTCCCATGCTCTGTAGCTGTGGGCATGCTACCCTGTATTCCAAGATTCATCTAAAACCAGTGAGCAGCCTCCCAGGAACCTACAATTACACTGTGGGTCTGACACACTTGCACCAGGTCCTGCTGCTTGCCCATTAGCTTAAAGGATGTAACCACAGAAGGAGCTGATTAACCTATTATTCAGTCTGCATTAAACAACAATCCACCTCCTTAAGCAGGAGAGTAAGTGACAGTAAATTATGATCACCAAGCTACACAGGGGGGCTGGGGAAGATCCTCTGTTAGGCTACAGAACAGCACATAACATCCTTGCTGCTGCAGCTTTACTCACTTGCGATCAAATTCCCTGTAGGCATCCCGCAACCAGCTCAGGGATGGCTTGTTCTCACTGGTCAGGCCATGGTGCAGGTACACCAGAGTGTAGTCACTCTCCACATACTGGTCCAGTGTGAATTTCAGGTACCTAGAACAAAGAACTGAGGAACTCACATTGTGCTCTACTACAGAGAGGCTATTCCTCCCTTTGGGACTCTTTTTGTGTGCCATAACAGAGGATTTGCATCTCCAGCAATGGAGGTAAGCACTTGGGAGGACACGTCCAGCTAAAGAAGCTACTGCAGATGGATCTGTCCCCAGGAATCCAGCAGCTGAGAATTAGGTCAGATTTAAGAAATTAACAGCAGCCTAAGACTCTACTTACCCCAGCAGTTTCACGTGATCTAATTGATGACTTGGAGGCATCCGGCAGGCACTGAACAAAATTACTTTTCTTCCATATTTGTCATCACCTGCAGATAAAATGCCAGAGATTACAAGGAGTTAAATACTTCATTGTGGCATTGGCAGCAAGGGGTAAAGAAAGAATGAGAAACCATTGTAACAAGGCACAGCTGCCAGCAATGCTAAATCTGATTTTCAGCAGTTATCATGGGCCTAGTGTGGAAGCAGAAACCTGAACACCAAAGGCCTGGCAAGTCAACAATGAGAATCAAGAACAGATTCCCTGCTCCAGCCCTGAATGGAGATGAAGGACTGGAAACCAGAATGCCTCCGGGCACATAGGGATGGAGCCAAGTACTGAGCAGAGTGCTCAGAGTATTAATCCTGCAAAGCTGTGCCTGGGCATTGCTCCTGATGCACACACGTCCAGGGAGGCATAGGGAAAACTGCCCCTCACCTGCACAATAATTCCTTCCACCCTGCACACAGTTCAGACTAACTTCTAATAGTCTGGTGCACCTGTTTTTTGCTTCACCTGGAGCTTAGTTCTGCACACAGAACACAGGCCATTCCATACCCTGGAAACAAAAGAAATCCTAGAAAAAGAGCAGTTCCAGATAAGAACTCTTCTGGATGAGTTCCAGATGATTTCTCATCTTTCCAAAGAAAAGTCTCTTCTACAGATGGGCCAAGCAGGGCTGCCGGATTCTCCAGAAGGATTGCAGAATAAGCTCTTCACCGCTTCCTAGATTTTCCATCCACAGAGAGATTTTTCCAGCCTGAGACAGAAGGAGCTGCAAAGTGCAGCATGACAAAGCATTCTTTGTAAAAGCCATGCAGAAAACAGTCCCCATCACACTGGAGCCAAATAACCCATAAAGCACCATCATGTCATGGAGGACACTCCAGCCACCACTTGAGGCTTCAGAGACAACAAGCCAAGTTTTCCCCAAAGCAAGTCTTCAACCATCAGTGGACTTCTGCCAGCAGAGATCTCAGCCCCATGAACACAGCCCAAGCAGACACCAAGCATGGCCAAGCTTAGGAGACATGCTGGGGAATAGAGAGATTTGCATAAGTGAGAACCAGGTCACAAATCCCGCAGACATACAGAGTTTGAGGGAAAGTCTGATTCTCTCCCAAACACAACATCCAACCCATTTCCACAAAGATGGCTTCTTATTAGCAGCAGTGAACATGAAATGGTTCCTTTAGTATTAAGGGTAAAAGTCTTCCCACCTTTTTAGCTACTCACCCTGCTCTGAAACCTGTGTTTTCTTGTCAAGCAGAGAGTGCAAAAGTGAATGGGGCTGTTGAGGCTATACTCAACAATACCCTCCTTACACCCATATGGTAAACCATCTCACACAGACCACAGCACAGAAAAGCAGCAAGGATCACTACTTATGCAGGACTGACCCGCAATACATCATTCCTCTTGAAATACATCATTTTCCCAGTATGGATTTATAATATTCATGCAGCCATTTTCTCACCTATGCACAGGCTCTGGCCCTTAACTATCACTTGGCTACACTTGCCATGCAGCAACTGAGGTCTCAGAACAGCAAACCTGATATTTCTGGGAATGCTGTTAGTACCAGATGACCACTTGGTGCTACAAATGGCAGCCAGAGAATTCATACACACCAGCCATGACATTAAGATGCCACCAGCCCCCTTTTGTCCTCATCTTGCCAGAACAGATTCTCTTGCTACTTTATTCTTTTTATTTTCACCTTGCAAGTCCCATTTTCAAGTCACCGGACAACACAGAATTTGCTGATGCACACAAGGCAGAAATTCTACCAAAGCTAAGGACACTGCGGCAGCACTAGGTAGGACCAGGAGCGGGGTGGCACAGGCCATCACATTGACATTCACATGCGGAGATCGGGGCACTGGGGAGGACGCATGACCTGGAATGCAGGACTAGGAGAGTGATGCAAGGCTCATCTGGAACAACTGGGTACAGTCACAGCCAGGCCACAAGACCAACATCACACTGCATATCCCATGGTAGCCCACTCTCTGCCTAACCCAGTTTCTTGGTAGGTCATTGTGAGCTTTAGGGCCAGGTCTAATGTAATTGAGCTGTCTAAAAGACTAAGTGCAGGTTACAAAGTCCTGGGCAAGGAACATGGCATATTGTGACCCTTCCCATTGGTCTTGTGCAACTCATATGTCTCTATCTGAAGGACAAAGGGTCCTGCCTGTATAAAACACCAAGATGCAGCATTTGAGAATCTGTTGAGTTTTATAGTCATAAAAGAGAAAGGTCAGAAAGATAACAGATCTTTGCAGATCATATGTAGCTCTATGCTAAATTCAGAACAGATGATCTTCAGTTAACTGAGGCTGCATTTCACACCAGAGTGGATGGTCTGAGGGCCAGATGCAGACTTCAAGTTTAATCAAGGCAGGCCTCTGTGGTGTGCAGCACAGTACCATGCTCATGCCATGTTGTGGGTGGCTATACACTCAGCTCAGGCTTCTGGGCACTGATTATCAGACCTGACAAATCACAATTCCAGAACAACATACCTTAAATAGCTTTCTCTGAAATGACATAAAAGCCTACAGCAAGGTCTATGCAACATCTACAGTCTTGTTCCTTACATAGTCTGGGATCGCTGGTGAAGAATAAACAGACAATCTATGATTCTTTCAAAGGGGAGATGGCATGTATTCCCTGGACAATTTCCAGGACCAAGTACATCAAAAGATAATCTACAGTGCCCAGGATGACTGAAAAAGGAGTGGCCTGCTTTGCCTTCCAAATCAGAATGAATTTATGCATGAGACCTACAAAGGAACCAGCATGCCCTCTTCTGAGTTCTGGGTTTTGCTCCAGTTTCATCACACTGAGCTCAGCCTGTCAACACAGAAACTTTCAAAACCATCAACTGCCAATCTTGTTTCTACCTGACATATATCTGATCAGTCTCCTTGTTCAAGACATGACAAAATCAAAAATTCAGCACCAAAGCTAAATAATTAGTTGCTCCAATTTATAAACAAGAACCTAAAGCCCATTCCATGCATTCTTGTTGGAGGAAACTACCTTCAGGTGGCCCCTCTGCCTCCTACAGAACAGATTCTTATCAGGTTTGATCTTTCCCAGATGCTCCATCTCTTGTACTATTTGCTTTCCTGTTTGCAGTATTAATCTTGTGTATCTAGGTTTTCACCCTTTGTTTGCAATTCCAAATAGCTGAAGTTTCCACTGAACACAACTACAGACCATGAAGTAATCACTTGGCTTCTCAGGCTGCCTTCTACCTCTCCCAGATGAGGAATGCTCAGTAGCTAACAACAAACCAATAACGCATTATTGGTACTCACAGAACACCTCAACTTAAAAAATATTTTCAATGTACACGGGAATTAAACTACCTCCCTGAAGGATGTGATTCAGATTATTTTGCTTTTAACAACAAAGAGCAAGACAGTAGCCAATATCTAAAGCCAGACAAGACAGATGCTCCTCTAAAGAGATATGAACTTGCAGCACTGATGGACATAAGTCCCTGAATATTCTTATGGCACTTTTAAGGCCTGAACTGTGTTTTTCCTCTCACTTGAAAAGCAGCATTTCCAGGGCACTTCTAAGACAAGGGGCAAGGAAAATCACTGCTGTGTTTCCAAGCCATGAGTGCAAGGCCAAACTTCTAAAAGGGCTGAAATTAAAATACTGAGGCAAATGTTTCAGATTGAAACCTTCAGGAATATGAACACATCACAGCAGAAATTCACATCAAGATGGCAGTAATGTCCCAAGACAGGGCATTAAATGAATTTACACAGCCAACACAGAAAATACATACTTGGTATACAAATCCTGTTATTTACTATTTCTGGGTAAACAGAAATATATCCATTACATATTCTGAAATATATCCTTTAGCATTTATGTCATGATTTGAGGCAGCCTAACTGCAGTCTAGAGACTGCTCATTCCTCTCATCAGGTTGCCTCAGTTAGGTGCCCATCTGGTGTAAAGATTCATATGGGAATATCCTAGTACTTTGATACTGAGACAATGCAGATGGATAAAACTTGTCACCAAAAGCTAGTGTTACTGCTAAAACAGCAAAGTTAACAGAGTTGAGGGACAAGGAAAGAGCACCACTACAGAATACTGGAATATAACTATACAAGTTTCACAAAGCTTAGCATGTTTAATCAGAGCCACTGTGAGTAAAAAACCTGTCAAATGTAATTTCATTTCAATTAGCTGTGCTAAACTTATGGCACAGCTGGGAAACGTTTAAGCATAGTAGATTTTAGCTGCCTATTGAATTCCCAAGTGGATTTAGCCCTGAAGGTAAGGAGATCAAAGCAGAAGTATTTTAATACATGATTCATCCACCTTGATATTCCCAACATCCAAACACTGCCAGAATCAGAAAGCCTCATGAAGTGAATATAGCTTTAATTGATACAAAATATACTAGAGGGTCAGATTAAAGAATGCAGAATGTGAGAATGTCTGAGAGCATAGAAAAAGGGGGAGAAGACTCACATAATGAGGAAATGAGAATCAGCATTTCCATTAATTGTGTGAAGGTCTTAGCAGTAAGAATTTCACACCAATAGAAGTTTTCATGTACATTGAGAAGCATGAAAGCACCAGCAGCCAAATTATTGAGACTTAGGACTGAAGTCCGGAGAGTATTAACAAATGCTCAGCAAGCCCAGGGCAGTCAAGCATAGCTTTGGGCAAACAAGTTACCAGAACAACATCTCTGCAGCCAAATGGAGAAGAAATAGATAACAGTTGCTTTCAGATGGAGAATCCAGTTTAAGTGCCAGCTGCTTAAGCACATGAGTGCAGCAGCAGATCATGTGAAAGAATAGGAAGCAATCCTAGAATGAACTTCCAAACTACATATGATAAGAGGATGAACTGGAGCTCAAACTGAACTGGTCCAAGCAGGCCACCACCATGACAGGACAGGAACAGGATTTACATTGAGACCCATGAGCCCCAAAGAGCCCAAAGTAAAGCCCACACACCCAATTTGGTTCAGATGATTCTGCTGTGCCTGAGGCAGAGGTGCAGCCCTCAGACAACAATTTTGTGCAGCCTTTGGATTCCTGAAAAATTGCCAGTGCAGCCTAAGGCTGAGCAAAGTTTGGGCTCCCCTGAGACAGTCCAGCTACAGGCCATGGTCATGCTAAAGGAATACCATGATCTACAGAACCAAATGTTAGTGCCACAAAAAATCTACCTACCTGGTTGGGCCCCATCAAGTGCACCCTGGTCTGGAGGAACAGAAAAAAAGTTATAGCAAGCCAAGCTTTGCATCCTTTCCCAGAAAGTAATCATGAGGGTAAAGTCTGAGAGCCTAGCCAGATTGCCACTGGGATGCATTTAGCTGCTGTCCTGTTGCAGGATTCAACCTCCTTCCATTTCATCTTTCCCCCATGCTCCTCTGCAAAAAGCAGCCTCATCTAACAATTAGAGGCAATAACAGCAATCTTTGATTACCAAATCTCCTTTTTGAATTTGCAACCAACTCTGTATAAGCAAATTTCTTGCCCTTACTGTTACACTTCCTCTGCCACCAAAATGGTAACTGCTGTACTGCCACTTTTAAAAGGGTTAATTGCAATTAATTCTGAAGTTCTCTGAACAACTTCAGAAGTGTACAGAGAATGGCATCATACCATATGAATAACACATCCCACACCCATTACTTTTTTCATGATTAGTAGATTCTGAGTAAAAAAACAGAACTGTCAATTCGAATTTTAAAAAGGTTCCTATAGTTTATGAAGGCATTGCACTATCACACCCAGCCCCTTTCCATCACTCTCACAGCTATATTCTCCACAGACCCACAGGAGCCTTTGCAGAACAGAGCTCTAGGAAGAAATTCTCCATTCTCTTAGCCTCCCTTATAAACTTAAAATTCTAGATACTCTCCCTTCCCTTGACCTTGCATATCAAAATATGGTGCACAAGCTGGGCTTGCTTTGGATGGACTCAATTCTATAGAAGAAATTCTTATTTTTTTATCATACAAAATATTCTTAAACAAACAAAAAAGTTAAAAGCTGGAAACTACATCCAAAAGCAGCAGAAATGCAGGCAAGTCTCTACTAATGGAGCCAGTAACAATGTATCATGCCTGAAGGGAAAAGGACCCTTGTTACCCTTTGCTAATGGGCCTTTACTGAGTCCATTAGCCACCAAAGACACCCTGCAACACAAGTTTTGTCTGCCACTTCTACCTTTGCCTGCTTAGAGAAACAAGAGCTGCTGGTGCTCCAAGATAGATTTTACCTCCCCATGTCAATCACCAACACCTACAACAAATCATCAGCACCAGTTACAGCTTTGGCACCTGCAGTCATGTTTGTTAGGTAGGTTTGGTACCAGATTCACCAATGAAAATAGATTTACTGCTGGAATTGCTTCACAAAAGAAAGTACACTCAGTTCTCCACCTTGTTTTCCCAATTCAGTTACAGGTCTTACATATATTGGCATCATAGCTTTTCTGCAAGGACAGCCTCACAGATTGACAATTAATGGTGTGAGGCAGCAGATTCCCCACACAGACGAGCAGAAACATGCTTTGAGCTCCAACAAAGTGTTGAAATCACAGGGCAGGGATTACATAGCTGGAGTATATAGTGACAGCCACTTTCCTGACCACTGATACACCTTCTACCCTCCATGGCAGTGAGAAATTCATATGGCAATATATGTTAGGCTCCTGTTTTCTTATCCCAAAAGAAAGCAAGGTAGTTACTGGGTAAAATGGGAATGCTGATGAACCTCATAGCCATAGTTTTGCATATTGACCATAAAGAAGAGACCAGTATTTCAGACTGGGCAGCAGAACGCGGAAGGAACACCTTGCCAGAGCTGACAAGAGTTTTGCTCTTCCCACACAGCCAGAGGTTTCCAGTATGAATTGCCATCTCCAGAAACCTCCTTTAGACTATTATTAACTACCTGCCTTAGTTTTGCAATTCAGCCTGAGCTAAATTCAAGGCCAAGACTATGTCACGTCTAGAAGATGGAAGCAGCACCTTTGCCATGTAAGAAGTGGCAGGAGAACACAGAAATTCTCAACATAACAGAAACTTGGGATAGTTCCTTAACAGCCCTCAACCAGGAGCTTGTGTTTCCTCCAAATGCTATGTGACGTAAGCAAGGAAAAAACCACACTGCAGAAGTGGACTGTGCAATGAAATCAAGCCTCCTCTCTTTCAGTTTCAGGCCACGTGTAAAGAAGAATTTCACTGCTACAGTGCTCACTAAAAGAGGCACTCAGAGTCAAGAACAAAAACAGAGACCTCTCCAGGGCCTGTGCAAAACACTCCATAAACACACACTTTAAGGCAGGTCTGAAAGGACCAGCAGAACACCAACATCTTCCTTCAGAAAAGCATCGAGTCCCAGAACCAAAAGAATGTTTCCTTAAACTAAAATACTGTGATTCCTAACAATAACTCCAGTTCTGAAAACTCCCTCAGGACTGTGGCCCGGATGCCTTTTGCTGTCATCTTTGTGTAACACACCACCACATGGGATAGCAGTGGCATGCCTGCTCCTTTCCCATGGACAGCCTCTTCCCACAAGATCCTAGTCCCCAGAAGAGACAGGAGCATAGGGCACAAAGGAGAGTCTCCATGAAACTGCTGCACTATTTTTAAGTGGAAAAACAAACTCCAAAAGCTTATTTTCCTAACAAATTCTGCAAAATGTTTTTCAGTACTTTCCTCTCTTAGGTCAGATAGACTGAATTTTCAAATCCAGCGTGCCTTGGACTGAATTAAGGTCAGCTAGAAAAAGAGTGTGCTAACTTTTTGCCATCAAAACTGGGCTTTCATTAAGTTATCAACACCATGCACACATCCAGCAAGAAGCAATTACTTTTCTGACCACACAGGATAACACTGGGATCATGGAGTTCAGCCTGAGGATGGGAACGAGCCTTCTGCTTTTGTCTTAAAATAGCATCATCATCCCAGAACATATTTCAGGGCAGGCAGGAACAGAGTTAGCCACAAGCTTTCTGCTCTGAGCTGCAGAACAGGGAAGGACATGGGACAGAAAGCTAATGAATCAATAGAGTGGATAAAACTATCCTTGATCTGCTGCCATTTGCTAATATTTACAAGAGATGTAGGGTAATTTTGTTTCAGGCTCAGCATAGCCAGTTCATTGCACCTGGAGCTGCTGACAAACGCAATTTGTCAGCAGAGCCACATCTGAACAGTTTCATATTAATTCTCCAGTGACATTTTTATTCTCCAGGCTACCTCTAATAGGATTTTTCCAGACTTTCCCAGATTGTTGGCCTCCAACAACAATCCAGAGAAGACTACCCTCTCAGATACTCTGAACAGTTAAAATTCTCAACTACTGACCACAAAAAAATTTAACAGCTTGCCCAGAACCAAGATTACAAGTGAGACCTCTTTGATCAACTTCCTAAATTCTCCTTTCAGGAGATGAGAAACCAGCAAGTCTCAAACCTACATGGTAGCAAATCCTCTGTCTGGATCTGTGCTCCAAGCTCTCCCAGTGCCAAGGAAGGCATCACACCACAGGCCATGTGTGGGACCATCACATGCTTTCAGACACATCAGCTACCCGTGAAAACTGGCCAGCAAGAGCTAAGAACAGAAGCTTCTCTGAGCTGTTTCCGCACTACACAGAGACACTGCAGGCACACAGAGCTCACTAGGAATACAAATTTAAACCACAACAGGGAAGAGTTCAGAATGCAGGCACGGCTCTCAGTCAGCCACCATCCCACCCCGGAATCCTGGCAGGAAGCTGGCTAATTCTTCATTAGCTACCCTAGACCGTGTCAAATGGCCAAATGGCTACGTTCCAACAGCCACTGACACACACGTCCATTGGAGTGATACTCCATTCAGAGAGCTTGTCAAAGAAAAAGTCATGTTACCTTGGAACAGAAATCCCTCAGAAAGAGTGCTGTTTATCTCAGGAGGCAGCAAAGTACATCCTTGGTATGGGCTGACATTCCAGCCTTATCAATGTCTCTGATCTAAACTGTGCTAAGCACTCTGTCTGAAGCTTAGCCTGAAGTGAACAGCTGTTATCATTTAACTCACCCTTTCCCAGAGTCCTCAAACACCAGTTACCTGTGCCATTCACATTCCAAATATTCTGACTATTACCACTGAAATGGTGGAGTCCACACATCTGTCCCTTTCCAGTTTCAGCAGCAGAGACCAGGGTGCAGACCTCTATAAACCCCAGTCCTGAAACTCCAGCCTCATGGAAAAGAAGCTTAGCAACACACTTGTAAATGAAAACACTTCTGGCAAATCTATAAGGCGTAACAGAACAAATGTCAAACACCTGGCCTGTCAAACTGAGCAGGAAAATAATGAACAATGTTTTGAGTCTTCCATTATAATTTTGTTCCAGAAAAGATGGAACATGAGAGATCAGGAAAAAGAAAGCTCATTTGAGAAAACTGCACAGAAAAGAATATCAAGACAACTCTTACCCAAGTAAGTGCCTGAGACTCTTTCCATTGTGGTCAAACTCTGCTGTAGAACAACAACCCTGAATCAGGAATCAGGAGGACTCCAGCTTGTGCCTCTGCTTCCTTGACAATTCACATGTGGGGCAGGGACCAAGGTACAGAGAGATGGCAGTAGGAGGGGTAGGAGGTGGCTATAGTCAAGCAGGAAGTATGAATCAAGTCACAACAAGTTGTAGAAGTGCTTCTTTTTAAAAAAAAAAACAAGGAACACAAGACAAACTGGCCTTACCCTTCACTCAGGCTCACCAAAGCAACCTAAAAAATAGCTCCAAAATTCTTTCTCATGGAGGTCCCAGCAGTATATCACCAAGGGTTAGCATAAATAAAATAATATGGACTAGAAAACACAAAGAAAATCCAAATGCTTGTGACCCTGAATGAACAGGTCTTTCCTCGCAGTGGAACACAGGCCTATTCCCCCTATTTCAGATTTCTGTACAGGATGGCAAGCTCTGGTCATTCAGGTATGAGTGATGCCACCTACTGTGGATTACTCAGTCGGCTGAGGACCTTGCAGCTGTATTGCTTAACTTCATAATTTCTGCAGCATTATCAAGCAAAAACCACTTTTGTGCTCGGGATGTAGTAAAGAGCCGTATCTAAAACAATTAAGCAAAAGCAACTGAGTCCTGACAATAATATAATCAAGTCAGCAAGAGCCAAGAAATAACCCAAGTTTAGCTGAAGTCAGCGGATAATTACACATATCACAAACATTCAAGAAGTTTGGTGATCTTTCTGTGCCACCTGTCATTGCCACTTGGGCTTGGCAAACAGCAGATGTCCCCAGAGCCCTATTAGAAAAGTCCTTCCTCAGCCCAGTTGCAAAGACATCAAAGGAGAAAACAGGAAGGTTCCTACCTGCTACTTCCACAATGTGGTGCCTGGCGATATCATAGTAGGGATCATCCCACTGCAGGTGAGTGACAGGCTCAGGGGAGCCTTTGGAGTCATCTGAACAAAGCACAAGAAACAAGTAATCAGAAGAAGGGATCTGGAGGACATTGGCAAGTACAGAAAGATAGAGATATAAGAAAAAATGGCACTTCTACATGGGAGGGACTGATGTATGCAACTATACACCTTGAAAATCCACTTTTGAAATTCTGAGAGGACAAGAGCAGCAATTCAGAAGAGTCCTCTCAGTCCTATGAGATCCATATGCGTCCCTCAGAATGTACACTCTCTCAAACAAATGCTCAGATATGTCACAAATATTCACAAAGACAAAACCCAAGGACACTATCATGGCTTTTTAGGAAAGGAGAATCTTAACATAGTCCCTTGATGGATGGTCATACTATATATCCTTGAGCTAATTTTCCTGACCGCTCTGTTCCTAGTTCACAGCACAGGATTTCAGAGCAACACTCAGATCTCCAGCCCCACCTCCCAGATGGAAGTTTGAGACCATTCCAGTCCAGAAGGCCAAACTCTCCTGCAAGAGACCATAATGAAGCATACTCAAAGATTTACAGCACATCTATTCTGTTGGTACCAAAATGCAGTCAAGCACAGGACTGAGAAGAGATTATTTACAGCAGCTGGCTCTGCACTTTTAATGCTGTTCAATACTGAGGCTGATTCACTTGGGTGTGTACAAGTTTAATGTGTCTATAAAGCTTTTAAATGGAGCTGGGGCTCTCTGTATATGTAGATATGACCACAATGCTGCAAGACAAACAACTGCTTTTTGGCCAAAACCCAGATCCCAAACAAGCAGGATACTTACCTGATTTGGGAAAAGCGGGGACTTCATCTGATGGCCAGTTCTTATCATCTATGGAGGTCAGTTTGAGCTGGCTGAGGGACTGGTTGGTATCATCCAAGTTCAGGTCATCCTGAAGCTCCGAGAGTGGGTCTGTAGCCATGGTCTCCAAATACCGCAGTTTGTTTCGCTGTGTCTACAACACAGACTGCAGAGATTGTTAGGTGAGACACAGAGATCACAAATCTACCTCCCTACAGACACTTCCTCCTCTCACTGATTTGCCCCCAATACTCCCTTATCCTTACTTATAAAGAGATTGTGTCCCCTCCCCCTTAATACAAGCAGAAACTCCTCCTCCTCCTCCTTGCCAGAGGCTCAACATGTCAGATTCTTTCATGCCAATTACTATCAAAAGCCATCAAGAGGTCTACCAACCCTCTCAAGGAGTCTGCTTGACCACAGCTCTGGGCAGAATAGTCCTTACTTATACAGAGATTGTGTCCCCTCCCCCTTAATACAAGCAGAAACTCCTCCTCCTTGCCAGAGGCTCAACATGTCAGATTCTTTCATGCCAATTACTATCAAAAGCCATCAAGAGCTGTACCAACCCTCTCAAGGGGTCTCTGCTTGACCACAGCTCTGGGCAGAATAGTTTTTCTCTCCTGAAACAGAAGCAGCACCAGGACTCGGCAGAAGGCGACAGGCTGCACCAGCCCCTGCCTGATACACTCCCTGTAGGGCTCCGAGCTCCCCCTCCCTCCGCACGGCTGGCACAAAGCCCGGCTCTTTCCACAGTTGGCCCAGTGCTGGAAGCTTTCCCAAGAATCACCCCCCCTTCCCCCCACAATGGAGAACCAGAGCTCTCAACAACACTGAAGTGGGTGCTTCAGTGTGCTTCGATCTGAACAGAGAAGTGAGCAGCTCCTTAAAACAGGAATTTTTTAGGCGGAGCCATTAAAACAGGGAGAACAATGCACACACAATCATCATCTCCTTTCAGCATCACCCAGTAAATCCTATCTTCTACACAATAGCTAGCAGCAAGGAATCACCTCTTTCATTTAAAGCCATACTGCCTGAATGAGTATTTTTCACCAAGCATGTAATAAGCACACCAAAGAATTAAGAGGGTCCAAGAAACAGACAGCTCAGTGCATTTCTGTTGTTTGCAAATATTTCTCATTTTCATCTGAAGCAGAAGATACATTAAAGCTGGGACTGAGCTAGCACAGCATACAGGACCTCCAAAGAGTACCAACTCTTAGGGACAATCCTTGGGAAGCAGCTGTTATCCTCTGAATTCAGTCTCCTGGAAGTAAGCAAGGAAACATTAAAAAGGACAACTGTGTAGATCTGGCCTGCTCACACAGACCACGTGGACAGTAATTCAGAGGTCAGCAGGCAGCAAGCCAAGAGGAACTGTAAAAAATCAAGTGACACCTTGCATCAGCAAGTCTCAATAGCATTGTTTCACAGTGATGCTTATTTTGCTTTATGAGGAGAGCAAAGGGTTCAAAGATGATCTGAGGAGGCACAACACCTTAGTGTGAAAAGTATATTCACAGTAAAGCTATTTCCTGTAGCAGAACGGAGAGGGAGCAACAATGTTTTGCATCTTCCATCCCTAGAGCTTGAATGTGTATATTCATCCAGAGAAAACAATGAAACAGTTACTCAGACTGAGCACAGAGGACAAAACCTGTGAGAGATTGAGCTCTGGAAAGTGTCACGTCCATGCTCAGGCCTATACTTGCCACCAAGCCTGGGGATGCATTTTGAGAGCACAGGAAAATGGACATTCAGTGGTGCTCTTCTCCCTCTGGAACATTCCAAGTGTAGTATTTACCTCCTGTCCTCCCTTATCTGCTATTCACCAGTTCACAACCAGTTTTCACCTCTCTGGGGCTCCCAAAGGACTGGAAGCTATTGTTTATAAATGCAATGATTCCCAAAATATGAAAGATCATGACATAGACAGAGAGCAGGTCATCAAGACAGCACATCAGATACACAGTCCCACCACTGCAGCCATGCAAAGATCCAAGCAAAATTATTTTCCCTTCCCTCTGGTCAGGGCTGCCAGAGCTGCCTGACCTCCTCTGATCTCGACAGGGTAAGGAGCAAGAAACCAGGTTCCCTAGCACTGTGAGCTCATGCTGGAGCCACGCAGCAGTGGAGCCAAGGGACCAGGACTCCCCACCCCTAGCAGCTGATCTGATTTCTATGGTAACAGCAGGCACTGACTCCTATGACTCAGCGAGCTTAAAGCATTTCCCACAGGAGCTCAGCAGCCCCAAAAGCCAGTGCTCCATGCTGAGGAAGCATCCATGCCTCCCCAGGATAGCCTCTCAGCATTCACAGCTCTCAGGGACTTCCCAGCCCTAGTGGGAACAGAGGACCCACATTTGACTGCTGCCATCCACTGAGACGCCTTTCACGGGAGATTCTTGGGGACGCCCAGTAGCAACCACTTCCCCAAAGCCAAGTCCTGAAAACTTGGGGACCAAATCCAAATCCCCCCACAGAGCAGTGATGGTACTGCCACAGGGCCAGCAAGTCACCAAGTGTCCCTACACTTGTCCCTACACTCACCACTTGGCTTCACAGTCAGCTTGCAGCACTTGTCCAGAGACAGTACTGGGAGATTTCCCCTGAGGCATAAAATTAATCTTAGTGTGGCACCATGTGGAAGAAGGAAGTTGTTAGCAGGATCCACACTGCAAAAAGTGTGAGATAGAGCCCAGTGGATAGTGGTCTGACCTCCTCCCTTGGGAAAACAGACAAACCTCTCCAGATACCTTCACACAGTTTTCACAGCCAGCTCCATTCCCTGGCCGTAGGTTACTGCTCCATGGTTTTAATGGAAGCAGGATCCAGAGCAGACCTCTTAGATTGCAGGTCCTTCTTGTGAACCATACTGTAGTACCCAGAGATCCACAGAAGGTTTTGCAATTTTTCTCCAGCCCTTTCCCAACATACAAAAGGCAAAAGCACAGGATTCTCACATCAGATAACCATAGAGCAGTTTAGGACATGCAGTCCTCTGAATGCTTGGGAGCTAGCAGGCTCCGAGGAGAAAACTGGAGTTAGCACGTCAGACACAAACTGAGGATCTTCATATAAGGATACACATTTCACTTTCCAATAGTGCAGCTGCATGAGATGCTTCCCTGTGTAGTAAAAAATGATCCCTAAGGATCTGTCATTAAACAGAAAATCCATATCTACCATGGTGATATAGTTGTTAAAATGAGTAAAGTGTTTGTTAAAAACATTTCCTGTTTTTTAACAATAAAGGACAATTTCAACAGATTTAATTCAGTTTTAAAACTGCATCTGTTTTACATAAATGTCATAATAAGATGCAGGTGGTACACTCCATATAGCAAATAATAAGAAAAACTACACATCTAGATTTTGAAAAACAAAAATTCTGGCCAAAAATTTAAAACTTAAAGAATAACACATGGCAGCAGAAGCATTTACTTACTGTCAGGCTCTAAAGAGCCAACTGTTACCTTTTTTCTGAGTATTTAAGTATGTTTTCTGCAAATGCACTACACCTGAACACTTGCTGTGTAATAAAAATTAACTTTCCTAGATAAGAGAGACATATGATGGAGAACAGCACACTCCACTAAAGGAGAGAACTCAGACCATTAAAATACAATTTTCACACAAATTCTGGAATTCTGAAGGTGCTTATATAAGATCCAGAATTTACCCAGGGAAGACCATTCACATCATATGCAGGAAATCCTGGTAGCTGCTGTTCATGAAAACTATTTTTTTTCTGCAATTTCAGTTTCACTACTTTTCTATCACTTATTTCTAAGCTACACCTGCTTGGTAGTTTCCTTTTCCTGTTTCTCTTCCAGACATACTATTAGTTCAGAAGTGAATTACACTTCAAAATATGTCCATGCATATATTACCACACCCTGGAGCTGTTCATACAATAGAGAATTACACAAGCAAAGTGGCCTCTTCTTCCATGCAAGACAAACAAGCAATGGTCAGATGCAACACAGTCCTGGTTCCGGGATTATTTTTATGACTCTGCTGCCATCCACACCTCCTCCCAGTTTCAGCCTATTTGCACAGATGTCTCTTTTTCTGTACACATCAATCAAGGCCCTGCACTTTGCTAGTGTTAAAAACAAGCAGGTTGAAAGAAAAGGGAGCAGTTACTCAGCAGCAGACCTTCAGGGTACTCACGTGCATGAATGAGGTCCAGAACCAAGACTCACCCACAAAGCCCACCCCTTGCCTCCCTCACATCAAGACTGATAATGCCACCAAGAGCATCACTACCCTGGTACTATCCTGAAAGAATGTACAGGTCGAGGGCCAGACCTTGTCCTGGCTCACCATGACAAGTAAACTCAGGACAGACACACTACTGCTCAGGGAAGCCCTTCGGCCCGTCATTATTCCAACAGCTTTTTAATTGAGCAGCCTTCCTTCCCCACTCATCTCAATCCGTTTGCTGAAGGCTACCTCCGTGCCCGCTGGAAATCCACTCCAGCGAGCAGTCAGCTTCCTCCTACTGGTTCTCTGCAGGGTCTGAGGGCAAAGGTGCTGAACTCTCCAAGCGTCCTCTCCGGAGCTGCTGCACAAAGCACAGAAGCTGCTCTCGGTGCCGTGCAGGACCCACGCAGGACTCACACGTGAGGGAGGCAGCGGGGCACACACAGCCCTGCAGCCCTCCTCCTCCACCACACAGCTGTTCTCTCCCGTTCCCTTCGACTCATCTCCTGGGAGATCCCCGAGCGAACCTCAAGATTGCTTCCGAGACTCACGAACTCACTATTTACACTGTTACAACAAAGGTTCCCGAGTATACGCCAATTGCCTGAAGGCAGGACAAGCAGCAGCCCCCGCTGCTGGGCACCGGGATTAATGGCAGCCCGCGCCAGCCCCGCCGCAGCCGCCGAGCTCGGGAGCGGCCAGCAGCAGGCCCGGTGGCGCCGCTCCGGCGGTGCCCGCGCCGCCTGCCCCGACCAGCGGGGACCGGGACACGGCGGGCTGCCGGCCCGGCTCTCCCCGCCCGGCTGCCCGCGGCGCTTCACCAGCCGCGCTCTTCCCGCCAGGCGCGCCCCGCGCACGAACCGAGCCGCTCCCTCACACAGGGCGAGCCCGGCAACACCGGGCGGAGCGCTCGGGGCCCCGGGCCCAGCCCCGGCCCGCTCAGCCCCGGCCCTAGCCCAGCCGCCGGGCCGCTCCCCCGCCCCAGCAGCACCAGGACAGGCCGCCGGCCCCGCTGCTGCAGGCAGAGCCCGGCCGGAGCCCAGTGGACTGCCGGCCGCCGTCCGGGCGCGCCCGCCGCTCCCTCGCGGCGTTCCGCCGGCACGGAGCGCCCGAGGCCGAGGGGGCGGCTGCGGAGGCGCGGGGGACCCGAGCCAGCCCCCCGCAGAGCCCTGGTAGGTGCGTGCCGAGGCCCAGAGGGGGTGGGATGAGCGGCCCGGCCTTCCCGAGAGTCGGGTGTGCGCCCTGCAACCCTGCGGGACGGCGGTCCCGACCGTGCATCGCTTTTAGGAGCTGCCAGCCGAGAAGGGAGCGTGTCGCCCTGTTTTATGCCAGTGATGGCAATACGTCCTAGAAATACTAGTGAAACAATAGGAATGCTGCACAGGTACTGTCTGTGGTGAGGAAACAGAGATTCGTTCTTCTTCCCCAGTTTAAAAAGGAAAAAGATCATAAAAGTAATGGTTCTCATGGCAGAGCCCCAGGATTACCGCATAGCAGAGTATCCATCTCCAGCCTTCACCTTCCTCATATCCAGCAGCAATCATGTCACATAACAGCCAGCCTTAATTCACCCGTCATGCCTTTTGTGTTCGTGCAGGGGATCCTGAAGTCTCCAGTAGCTGATGAAACCACAGTCCTCAATGACCCTGTTAGCAGGCTGTCCACCAAATATTTCCACAGGCTGCGAGAAGCTTCCAAACATGAGCCATGACAAGCCGGAGTGCTGGGGACTGAGAATCAGCATGTCGAGCCCCTCTCAACCATTAAGACCAGTGGCAGGTGCAAAGAAGAATTGGATAAGGTTGTGGATCCCAGATCTGCAGCATAAAAAAGTGGAAATGGGCAGGTGGCGGGCAAGTCCTGGAGACCTGGATCTGTTGCCTCCCTCAAGCAGGGTTTGATTCAGTGCTCCCTTGGTTGGCAAGCCATGCAAGGTGCCTGCTGTGGCCAGCCCACTCCAGAAGTGCCTGAAGGATTCTGGTGGCAGGACAATTGGGCAGGAAGCCCAGTCAGTCCTAAAGAAGGAGAGACTGTAGAGATTTGTGAGAAGGAGAGCAAAGCTTCCCAAACCTTCAAAGTGGCTTTCGCAGAGCATGGGGGGAACAGCTCACTGGAGGGGCCTGAGTGGCAGGAGGAGTATACACAGCTGGTGGAGGATTATTCTGGCAGCCCAGGCCCCTGTATAAAAATCTCTGTCCCAAAAGGGGATGAACAAGCACAGGTGGTGCTCCAGGGAGTATGATAAAGCCTTCCTGTGGCTCTGCCACCCCAAGAAGCACCACTTTGTCCACCCTGGCCACAAGCCCCTCCTGTGCACAGAGTGTGGCAAGAGCTCAGAAGGGAGCTTCCAGAGCCACGCGTTGGCCCATGGGGCCGTGTGGCCATTCCAGTACACCCAGTGTTACAAGGTTTGCTGCCCCAAGTGAGACTTGCTGGAGCACAAGGTCCTGCACACTGGCCAGCACCCCTTGTCCTGCCAGCAGTGTTGCAAGGCCTTTGCATGCTGGCTGTCTCTCTGCGTGCACAGGAAGATCCATTTGGCTGCTGGGACTGGCCCAGCTGATCCCAAGGGGTGCCAGTGTGCCATATGTGGGTGTCACCTGGCCAATTCCAGCTCCTTGTGCAACCACATGTGCCTGCATGTGGGGTGGTGCACTTTCACCTGCAAGCAGTGCAGCAAGTCCTACACCCTAGCCACAAAGCTGTGGTGCCATCAGAAATCCCAC